TGATGCTGAAAATTCAGCTTTGCCATCACAGTAATAAATTATTTTATTTTAAATTGTACAAATATGTCACAATAAATATGTTTTTATTGTATTTTTGATCAAATAATAAAAAAAACTACACAAATAGATATATAAAATATAAAATTTATGCTAAAATATATATTTATATTATGATAAAATATAAATAAAACATTTTAAAAAAATCGTACCCCAGACTTTTGAACGTTAATGTATTTTTTAACAAGATAGTACAGAATTTTGTTAGCGGCCACTACAAATAATTATTGGCTAATTGCTATTGGCCATAATTGTAAAACTGACATTGTGTGTGACAGTGAGAGGGAAATGGTGACTAGTTTGCGCAGTCAGATAGAAGGGGCTGAGAGACTCGCTGAGGAGCTGAGACAGGAGAATGAACACTTGAGACGACAGAGAGAGAAGGAGGAGGAGGAGAGAATCCAGCTGGAGAGAGAGAGACAGAAACGGTATGCTTGTCCATCAATCACCGTTTAACATTATACAGAATTCATTTAGGATGTGCGTGTCATTAGAGCCCTGTTCAGTCATGCTCATCATGCCATATTCTGCTGGTAAATAACTTTGATAAGGTTTATTTGTAAATCAGCATGGAGACAGAGATGCTAGAGACCACTCAGCTGTGCGAGAGAGAGACTCGTACCCGTCTGGAGATGCACAGCCTGCAGGGAGCACTAGAGAGAGAGAAGCTGGACAGAGCACGAGCTGAGCAAGAGGCCGCCGACACTAAAGATTCCTTACTCAAGGTAAACTGATAGAGTGGAGAGAGGTGTGACTTCCACAAATCATTCTCACAATTTCAGCAAAACCTAGCCACTTATATACACTGCTGCTCAAAAGTTTGGGGTTGGTATGGTAAAAACAGTCATAATGTGAAATATTACTACAATATTTCATACTGATTTGCTCAAACATTTCTTATTATCAATGCTGAAAACAGTTGTGCAGCTTAATATTTTAGTAGAAACTGATACTTTTTTTAGGATTCTTTGATGAATAGAAAGTTCAAAAGAACGCCATTTATTTGACATAGAAATATTTTGTAATATTATAAATGTTTTTACTCTCACTTTTGATCA